TTGGTTTACTAAATAGTTCGGCATGTTATTTTTTGTGCCTGGACTGCACACTATCTCATAAACCCTTTGCATCATGGTTAATTTCCGTTTAAATTTGTGTTGACATGACAACTTCTTAATTATTTGCTTTACATGCGTGACCCGTGACACCCTACTAAACTGATATTTCTCTTAAAAAATTTATATTAACAAATTGTCGATGCAAGTGAAGTGTTATAACGTCTGAACGGTCTATAGTCGTCCATGGTGCGTGCAAAAGATGCTAAAACGTAACCGTGTGGAAAACGACATGCACTTAGACAAAGCATGGATGGAAATGTATGATGCATATATTCCATATATTCGTCGGGGACGGTGTGGGTTATCTCGCCAAATCCTACCCAAATTATGTCGGCTCGCTCAGTGTTGTCACCACTTGCCCCCCAAGTGTCCTTCTAAAGGGATGTTCCACTTGGATTTTCCGCAACTTGTTTTATAGGAAAACTAATGGAAATACTTAAAATTTTTGAATTTTAACGATAAAGATAAAATAAAGGGTAAAGTAAATAATATCATGATTGACTTTTTAGTATAAAAATATGGTTTTTCGTTAAAGTGAACAGTACTATGAGTTTTTCGTTAAAGTTCCCTTGTTTTATTTGTTACCTTCTCTTTTTGTTTCTGTTAAATGTCTTATTTTTCTTTGTGAAAATGGTTTGACTAATTTAGCAGAAAATGGAGAAGGAGCCCCATAAATTAAAGACCATCTGTCTTAATATATTTTTTTTGAATAAGCGATATTATCTACACTAAAAGGAAAGATGTAGATTTAGTCTCACAATGAACTAATAATAATTTGATTCAAATTTGTTTTTAACGAGAATAATTTGCTTAAAAAAGGATCTATTCACCACAATAGACGAGAACCAATGGATTTTTTTATAGAAACTCGAAACATGTGCTAATTTTATGGCCCAATATTAGGTTTAGTTTAATTCTTAATTATATTTTTAATTAGGTCATCAGTAGAGAATTTGTAAGATCTCACATTGCCTAGGGAAGTGATCCTTATATGTATATTTTCATCCCTACCTAGCACGAGGCTTTTGGGGAGCTCACTGGCTTCGGATTCTATCTTAACTCTGAAGTTAAGCGAGTAGTGCACGAGAGCATTCCCATGATGGGTGACCCATTGGGAAGTTCTCGTCTGAGTTCCCAGAAACAAAACCGTGAGGGCGTAGTCGGAGCCCAAAACAGACAATATCGTGCTACGGTGGTGGAACATGCCTGGGATGTGGTGGACCCAGGCCAGGATGTGACAAATGGTATCAGAGCCAATCCCTGCCCAGAAGTGTGCTGACAAGGACGTCAGGCCCCTAAGGGGTTGGATTGTAAGATCCCACATCGCTCAGGGGAATGATCCGTATATGTATATTCTCATCCCTACCTAGCACGAGGCCTTTTGGGAGCTCACTGACTTCGGATTCCATCGGAATTCGGAAATTAAGCGAGTAGTGTACGAAAGCACTGCCATGATGGATGACCCACACTTTTGGGAGCTCACTGAATTCGGATTCCATCGGAACTCCGAAATTAAACCAGTAGTGCACGAAAGCATTCCCATGATGGGTGACCCACTGGGAAGTTCTTGTGTGAGTTCCCAGCAACAAAACCGTGAAGACGTAGTCGTTGCCCAAAGCGGACAATATCATGCTACGGTGGTGGAACGGGCCCGGGATGTGGTGGACCCAGGCCGGGTAACATCCCACATCACCCAGGGGAGTGATCCTTAAATTTATATTCTCATCTCTACCTAGCACGAGGCCTTTTGGGAGCTCACTGGCTTCGGATTCCGTAAGAACTCCGAAGTTAAGCGAGAAGGAGGCTAGAGCACTCCCAAGATGGGTGACCCACTGGGAAGTTGCTCGTGAGTTCCCAAAAACAAAACCTTGAGGAAATGGTAAGCCCAAAACGGACAATATCGTGCTACAATGGTGGAACGGACCCGGGATGTGACGACACGGGCTGGGATGTGACAGAATTCATGCTAAGTCACACGATGACTTTGCTATAAAAAAAATATTAAAATTACTGTATTCGAACTTAAAATTTTTAACTTACACTTATATGTAAAAAAAGATATTATTAAGTGATAAATAAATGCAATTAAACAAATGTCAAATCATCGTAGGAAGGCCGCAAGAATAATTAGGTATAATTAACATAAACCAAAATATTAAAAATAAAAATTCCACAAGAATAAGATAGGATTCGGCCCCCTTTGTTTTTAGGTTTTAATGGATAGTGGACCCCAATCCTTGAATTAGAAAGTAGTTGATTAAGTTTTAAGGGACTTATTTGTATCTCCACCACAATAATATTTTCCATAATGCAAAGTTTTATATTGCTCTCCATATGGGTTTCTCCACCTATTAAGCCTCCAAATGTGGGCCCTTTCATCAGATGATTGCAGATGAACAATTCTTAGAGCAAGTCCACCGTTGGACCTTGCTCTGGGGACAGGCGAGAGGAAAGAGCCCGAGGGCTGATGGGTTCAGCTCCAGCGTTGGGCAGCCCGAGTGAGGGTGGGAGCCCGAGGGCCAGGCCCGTGAGGGATTGATAGCCCTTCAGCCCGAGGGGTGTGACATCAGGCTGACGCCATGGTGTCGTCGTGTAATGGAGTATAACTAGCATCGATTTTTGGCACGGGGACGACAACGGTGTTGGTAATGCCGATAATTTTGATTTCGTGCAGCGTGGGAAGACGGAGGATGGGACTGGGGAGGACCCGCCCGAGGAGCTGGATTTCAAGTTGGGCTGGATCCCGCGGTCGAGACAGATCCTGAAATCGGGTCAGATGAGGTCCGGGTTGCTGAGCCGCGGCGGCGACAACGACGACGACGACTCGTTTCTGGAAGAGGACGTGCCACACGAGTATAAGAGGGCGAACTTCAACGCATTGATGCTGCTTCAGTGGGTAAGCTTGGTTTTGATTATTGGGGCAGTGGTTTGCACGCTGACAATTCCAGTTATGAGGGAGAAAAGCTTGTGGAAATTGAAATTATGGAAGTGGGAGGTCTTGATTTTGGTTCTGATATACGGGAGATTGGTTTCGGGTTGGGGGATTAGGATCATAGTGTTTTTTGTGGGGGTTGGGGGATTAGGATCATAGTGTTCTTTATTAATAATATTTTATTGCCTATTGCCAAGGCTATTCAAGTGCAAGGGTGAAGATGCAAAAGGCAGTTACTGTTCACATGGTGGATTGAATAGTGGATTGCCTGGGGAGAGGGCTCCAAGGGTGGAGTTGCTCTCATACACAGAAATAAAAACTCACAATTTTGAACAAAAATATAATAAAAACCCACAACCAAAAACACACCTACATACGCATTGAGTAAGTTGCAGTTTAACCTCCTCATTATTATCTTAGTTGAAATTGACGATTTGGACAATTATTATTATTCTTTTTTTTAAATTACGTCATTGAATTTTTTGAAATTAGCTAATCAATCCCTCACCAGCATATTCTATGAAATTTCGTTCATTTTGCGGTCAAATACTAGCACATGACCAACATATGATTCACTTAGGGTATGCCTTGATGATAAAATGGGTGAAATTTCGTCAAAATTGACAATGAGGGGTTAGTGTTGATTTTAAATAGTTTAAGGGGTTAATTTACTAGAAAATAGTTTATGAGGTCAATTTCAAATGGAGTAACAGAGAATCAAATGGCAAGGTACCCATATACATTTGCAAAAAAAAAAAAAAGCTCTTTAGCCAAAATTGTCCATGAGATTTGCATAACTCTTCACTTTAGTCCCTGAGATTTGAAATCAATATAAGTGGTCCCTAAGTTTGTCCACCATCAATCATTTTGGTTATTCCGTGAAATTTTTTGTTAAATAGCGACCAAAATGACAAAAATACCCTCAACTTAATAAACATTGGGCCAAAATGATTTAACGAAAATTGAGGGTATTTTTGTCATTTTATCTTTATTTCATGGAGATTTTTCAGGGGATGACCAAAATGATTGATGGTGAACAAACTCAGGGACCACTTCTATTGATTTCAAATCTCAGGGACCAAAGTGAAAAGTTATACAAATTTCAATGATCATTTTTGCTAAAAAGCCGAAATAATATTTTATACCAAATTCTTCTAAAGTTTGGAAAAGAGAATTTAAACTTTGATGCATAAAGGAGCGCACATTATTTTAATCAACGTAGAATATCTCTAAACGAGATAGCAAAAAGTTTCTATAGCCATTTGACACTTTTGTGCTACTTTTGTCACTTCAAATCACTCCCCAACTAACTCTTTAAATTTTTTCACACTTTAAAATATTGATATCTTAACTTTATTATATCTCATTGGCCCAAATTTTTTTTCTAAAACTCTTTACTAAAAAATATTTTTGAATAAAATATATTGTGAAACCCAATTTGTTAACTTGAAGAAGTATCAACTGACTTAGTAGTTGCCAATTCTCTAGTTTGCTAATTTGAAGAGCGTATTTTCTACGTGGCTAACAAATTTAACTTTGTTACCCAAATGCTACCTCATTAAAGATGCTATTAGTTAAGCCCACTTCTACCAAATATGAACAAAAACAACACTCGAATTATATACGATTGGCTAGTCTAGCGGTACCTAATACTCATCATCTATTTAGTAGGAACAAAATCAAATTGACTCCCATGAATGTGAATATAATATATATTTATATCCTACGTCAAGCTTGTATAACAAGATTCATTCATAAAATAACCCAAAACCAGAAAATAATCATCCCAAAACATAATAATATTCGTAAATACCATTGATTAAAAAAATTAGAAAGAAGCTGAGAAAAGGCACCTTGGCAATATAAAAAAAAGAAGCAAATATACATAAAGGAAAAGATTATGATAATTAAGAAGTAGGAACACAAATTAAATGAGGAGGCAAAAGACGCAGTTAATCCTGAATACGTATGCCGTTCTGACCGTATAAAGCAAGCGAAGTCCGAAAAAAGTCGGTCTCAGGTCTCAAGCAGAGCCGCCGCCTATTGAGAAAAAGATAAAGAGAAAATAGCCTGGGGATATAAACCTTTGTGTCCCTATCTCTCTCTGCCTTTAGTTTGTTTGTTTGTTTTTGGTGCTTGCTGGGTATTATTTAATCTCCCTGCAGAAAGAAGAAAAAAACCCAACAAAAAATAGTGAACTTGTGGGTGATCTTTTGACTTGGTAGTCTCTGATAAGAGAGGGGAGTTCTTGCTCTCTGTTCTTTGTTAGAGAAAGAGAGGAGAGAGAGAGATGGAGATGATTTATTACCAGCCTTCTTACCAGGAGTCCTTGAGTGCTTTAGAGGCAGATATACAGCATGCAAATTCTCTGTAAGTTGCTTTATTCCTCTGGAAATTCTTTGTTTTTGTTTCAATTTCTCTGTTTTCCTATAGTGGTTGTGAATATCCTTTTTTTTTCCCAAGTGGGTAGTTTACTTTTACGTTTAACTGCAAAAAGCTGTATTTAGGTCATCTGATCATCACAACCCACATCATAATTTTTCAATTTAGGCAAGAAAATGCAAAACCCTTTGTCAAAATTGCCAATTTGGGATTTTTCTGGGGAGCAAGTTTGTTTATTTTATTTTTTTTGGGGGGTTTTGATTTTATCATGGTTGGTTATTAGATTGAAATGTAAAGTTTACAACTTTTGAACTATTACTAATTCTGATTTTGATTTGGGATTTTTCTGGGGAGAAAAGTTGTGATATTCTTCTTGGGTTTTGACTTGATCATGTTAGAGTCATCAGATAAAATTGTGAAGTTTGCAACTTTTGACATATTACTAGTTCTGATTTTGATTTGGTCGTGTGCAGAGCTGCTGCAATTCCGAGAGGCAAAGGCGGTGCCCGGTTTCAGATGAAATTGGTTTACAGTCACTTGGCCCCCCTCTTTCTGTTTTTGTTGCAATGGTTTGATTGCTCAATCACTTGCCTGCTCCCAAGATACCTAAATTTCTTCCACATACTTGTCTACAAGGTTTGGTTCTTTTCTTCCTCTCTAGTCTATTCGTTGTTAATCGATGCGGAAAAGGAATTTACTTTTGTTGCTCCACCTAATTCGGGCATGCCGGTCCTATTTTGATACAGGTATACACAGATGGCAGGCCCAGCATTTCAACTCATGGACGGAAGGCTTCTATAAGGGACTTCTATTGTATGTAGAATTTCCTACTTTATGATCATTGGATGTCGTTTGGTTGTGATTTGCTCGATTAGGTTTCTAACTTAGTTTGCTTTGTTGAAAACCGAATTTCAGCCGTTATCTTACCGTCTCTTCAGCGGCTGCACGGGGATTTGGGGGAGTTAGACGATTCTAAGGATGGAGATCCTAGGGTTCCCAGCATGGAAAGCTCTGGAAAGAAGATGATTAAGGGAGATGGTAGCCTTGTCAATGCTGAGGGGGAGAGAGAAGAGGAGTGTGGGATATGTTTAGAGCCTTGCACCAAAGTGGTCTTGCCTAATTGCTGTCACGCAATGTGCATCAAATGCTACCGCAATTGGTAAGTACAAGCCTTCGCTATATCCCTTATCCGTATCCGTGTCTGCTTGTTTCTCTAGACAGTCATTTATTCTTTGCACTTGCAATGCTCTGGTTTAATTTCAGGAGTAGAAAGTCGGAGTCTTGCCCATTTTGCCGTGGTAATATAAAGAGAGTTAAGTCTCAAGACTTATGGGTGCTCACTTGCAACGAAGATGTGGTTGACACCGAAACGGTTTCAAAAGAGGACTTGTTGCGTTTCTACCTCTATATCAACAGCCTGCCGAAAGATTACCCGGATGCCCTCTTCTTGGTGTACTACGAGTATTCTAATTTGTTTTAAGAGAGCGAAGAATGGTGTAGAGATAGAAAAGGCCCTCCTGTCAAATGTAAATACAACCCGGTAAGGAACTTCTGTTCGATTTTTACACAAAACAACGGTTTCAAATGTTATGCATATCGAAAATTTACAAGTCGTTGTAATACTGCTTCATTTACTGATGTCAAAATTTTCATCTTGAGAATCAAGTTCTGTTGTAAGTTAGATCTCCTGAACTATTACTCCAGTTAAAATTGACGTCTCATTTTTTTTTTGTTTGGCAAATTAATTTTTGAACTAATTGAAATCAGCCAATTAACTTTTTTTTTCACGGTCAGAGATGAGATTTCATCCACATTGCCTTCAAATATTGTCATGTGACCAATACGTGATTCACTCTTGAAGATTAAGTCATGCTAGTATTTGATGGCAAATTGGATAAAATTTCATTGAATCTTACGGCAAGGGGTTAACTGGCTGATTTTAAATAGTTTAGAGTGTTAATTTTCTAAAAGAAAGTTTAGGGTGTCAATTTCAATTGAGGTAATAATCCGAGGTTTGACTCTGAATACAACGGTCAAAGCATTATTCTTTGTAGACATTTATGTCTATCGATGACCAACTTTCGAAAAAACTCGACGACTCTAGGCCGTGTAATTATGTAGAGCATTAATGTGATTGGACGTAAAATAAGTCAAGGGTAAACAATTCATTGTCGTCTCATATTGGGCACGTCTTTAAGGATGACTCGAAGCCCCCGTGGGGGTTAGTGCGTGGATGGACTGCGGAAGCAGATAATGTGCTCTGGCAGGCTGTACTTGAGATGAAATCAGACTATGTGCTGTGGTCTCTTTCTTCCATCTTACCGTCAAGTTAACATGTAATGCTTTCTCTAAAGAAAACTTGATCTTCCATATATAGTGAGGGATAAGAAATGGATGACAGAACTATTGATTAGCATCCAAACAAGTGAAAAGTAGACTCTGCCTGCGTAAAAACGTAACGGTTATCTCGATAGTTCGACAAAAAAATTGAGAATGTAACTCGTTATTCATAAGTTGTTTTTGTTAATTTTGAAATGATATATTACATATCCTATGTTGAATGTATTGGTAACGTTAGGTTATGATCATGGTAAATTGGTAAAAATGAAAATTGACCTCGAAAGCCTAGTAGTAGTTTAGTAATGAATCCTCTCCGGATCACTCTATTTCGAGCAATCGGATTCGGAAATTCAAGTTGTTCAAAGAGAGAGTGATCCAAGCAGTTTAAAGATAAGATGAGCCAATAAAATGGGTTAATGAGGACCGCGAGGTTTAAATTAAGCGGTCCAAATTTTTGAATCTTACGACTTTGGACACATAGATTCGTAGAGATCTCGACTGGTTTAGTAGTTTGGTAGAAGTTTAGTGTAAACGTGTAGAGTAACGGTAGCCATTGACTGCACTATAACGGAAAGATCAAAACACAAAATAAAATAAATAAAAAGAAAAAGAAAAGTAAAATTGGTGGGAGAAACCAGAGAAGGGGTTAACGTGGGAAAATTACAGTCAGCTCCGCAGTCTGCAGGATCAGAGAGACACCGCCCGCGGTGGTCCTTATTCATCGTATCCAACCTTTTGAACTGTTACCGGATTCCACAGGTCGAATTTCTAGGGTTTTGGTCTCAGTCGGTGACAATTTCGGAGCACTCTGATTGATTTCTAGGGATTACGGGGATTGAATAATCCGGTTCGGTTGGGTTGCCGATCCGAGCCTTGTGGCTGAGGAAGGAGGGATTGGTTTATGCGCGCCATTCCGATGTCTGAGAAACCTGGCTTGAAGCAGGTTCTGGAGGACTCGGCAGCTGAGGCGGAGGGAGATCAAGCGATTCGGGGCAGTCCAATTCCGAATGGTTTGGTCAAGGATTCGAATGTGATTCGAAACGACGTCGCCGAGCCGGTGAATCAGGTAAGCGGAGAATTCTGGAATTGCAATTTGCGAAACGGTGCCGTTTCAATTCGATCGGGGGTGCATAATAGCTATGGTATCGGTTTTAATTGCAGGAATTAGGGTCGGAGTCGCCGGCGGCGGACGGAGTCGAAGACGGCGATGACAGGGTTCCGGGAGATAAAGGCAAAGTGACGGAGGATTCGGGGAAAGAGGAGTTCGTCGATTGCTCGGAGGATTACGCCATGGATGAGGTGGATCGCCTGCGGCTTTTGCTGGAGACTACTGTTAGCGAGAAGGAAAGTTTAGCGCGCCAATTCGAGGTTGGTATTTGTTTTATTCAATCGAACAGACTGATGCTTTTCGAGGCATTTTCGTGTTTTTGGTATTGATTGTTGGTTGTTGTTGTTGTTTTTTAAAATGTAGGAAGAAAGAGAGGCTTTTGGTAGAGAATTAGCAAGTCTTCGGTTTCAGCTCAATGCTTTCACTGATCCACAGCCATCGATTGGCGAAAGCGGTAATTTTGTTAATACCCGATGGACTGAGTTGATAAATGAATGTTCTGGACTTGTTAAGACGGCTTTGGAAAAACGGTTGCAGACTGAGGCCGCAGTGAGAGAGCTTGAAGGAGTTGTGTTTAAGAAGGATCAAGAGATTGAGGAACTCAATGCCAAGGTCAATGAGTTTTCGGTATTGAATGATGTGGTATCAATTTTTTTGAATTCTGCTCAGAGGTCTGTGGAAGTGTCATCTGAGGCTCAGATTGAGAAGGATACACACGTTGAATTTGTGACTAACAGGATGTTGGCTTCAATTAAGGGTGTCGTTGATCAACAAGAAATGGTGGATGGTTCTATAGGTGGAAAATTAGCACATGTTGAGCAATGCACTTCGATCTTAATTCAAAAGTTGACCGGGATGCTTTCTGAAATTGAGCAACTTAGACAGTGTTTACCGGAGGCCAGGTCAGATCTTGACTCGCATGAATTAGGGGGGATCTTCGCTGCTGCCCGTGATGAGTTATTTGAGCACAAAAGAAAGGAAGCAGAGTTTGTCCAAAGATTGAGCCATCTAGAAGATGAAAATAGGAAATTGATTGAAGAACTTGAAAATCAAAAAGGAATAGTTGAGATGGTAAATGCGGCTCTAGGACAAACAAAAATGGAACTAGAGCAGGAGAAGCATAGGTGCGCTAATACCAGAGAGAAGCTTACTATGGCCGTGACAAAAGGGAAGGCATTGGTACAGCAACGGGACTTGTTGAAGCAGTCCATTGCTGAAAAAACAAGTCAGCTTGAGAAGTGTTTGATTGAATTGCAAGAGAAGTCAAGTGCACTTGAAGCTGCTGAGTTAACCAAGGAGGAATTGATTAGAAGTGAAAATTCGATTGCATCCTTACAAGAAATAGTATCCCAGAAGAATGCAATCATTGAAAGTTTGGAGGAGGTTATGTCTCAGACCGGTGTACCTGAGGAACTTCAGTCTATGGATATTCTAGAGAGGCTTCGGTGGCTTTCGGTTGAAAATGATAAACTCAAGGGCATTTCCCTTGAATTCCAAAACTTGAGGGATGCTATGCAGGCAATTGATCTACCAGAAGTTATTTCATCTTCTGACTTAGAGTATCAAGTGAATTGGCTTAGGGAATCGTTTTCTCAGGCCGAAGAGGAAGTTCTTATGTTGCGCAATGAAATTACTGCAACTAAGGAAGTGGCACGTAAAAATATAGACCACTTAACTGATTCACTTTCAGCTGAGTTGCAGGCAAAGGAATATCTCCAAGCAGAGCTGGACAATCTGACATCTGAATACCAAGAGATTGTCAAGAAAGAGCAACAGGTGTCTTTGGAGAAGGCTGATATGGCCAAAGAGGAAGTACTTATGTTGCGCGATGAAATTACTGCAAATAAAGAAGTGGCGCGTAAAAATATTGAAGACTTAACTGCTGCACTTTCAGCTGAGTTGCAGTCAAAGGAATATCTCCAAGCAGAGCTGGACAATCTGACATCTGAATACCAAGAGATTGTCAAGAAAGAGCAACAGGTGTCTTTGGAGAAGGCTGGTAGGGCCAAAGAGGAAGTACTTGTGTTGCGTGATGAAATTACTGCAACTAAAGAAGTGGCGCGTAAAAATATTGAAGACTTAACTGCTTCACTTTCAGCTGAGTTGCAGTCAAAGGAATATCTCCAAGCAGAGCTGGACAATCTGACATCTGAATACCAAGAGATTGTCAAGAAAGAGCAACAGGTGTCTTCAGAGAAGGCCAATATGGTCAGAATGTTACTCAATGTGTCGGGAGTTGTAGTGGACAATGAAGAGGTCTATGAGCCTTCCTCGGACACTGCCTTGCTCATTGACAGATGCATTGGGAAGATAAAAGAACAGAGTAGTTCCTCACTTGATTCTCCAAAGGTTGATGCTGAATTGTTTGAAACAATTCAAACCCACCTGTATGTAAGAGATCAGAAATTGATGCTTTGTGAGACTTTACTAGAAGAGGAGACTCTGGTGAGGTCACAGGTGAGTAATCTATCGAATGAGTTGCGGGATGTATCTCAAAAACTTGTAGCGTTGAAAGAGGAAAAGGGGACCCTGCAGAGAGATTTTGAACGATCAGAGGAGAAAAATACTGTGCTAAGGGAGAAGTTATCCATGGCAGTCAAGAAAGGTAAGGGACTGGTTCAAGACCGGGAAAACTTGAAACATCGTTTGGATGAAAAGAAATCGGAAATTGATAAGTTACAGCTTGAGTTACAGCAGGAACAATTGGCACTTGTTGAATGCAGGGACAAGATAAGTAGTTTGTCTGCTGATGCAGATCGCATCCCAAAGTTAGATGCTGATCTAGTTACAATGAAGGAACAACGGGATCAACTCGAACAGTTCTTATTGGAGAGTAATAACATGTTACAGAGAGTAATCGAATCTCTTGATGGCATTGATCTTCCTGTCGATCCAGTTTTTGAAGAGCCTGTGGGGAAGGTGAAGTTCATTGCAGGATACATAAATGAGTGTCAGGATGCGAAGGAAAAAGCAGAGCAAGAATTGGGAAAAGTAAAAGAGGATGTCAATGATCTGGCTGGTAAGTTAGCAGAAGCTCACTCAACTATAAAGTCGCTGGAAAATGAGTTGTCAGTTGCAGAGAATGATATTTCTCAACATGTTGAACAAAAGAGGGAAATGGAAGTGGGTAAGACCAATGTTGAAAAAGAGTTCGAGAAAGCAATTGAGGAAGCTAAGTCTCAAGCTATCAAGTACAGTGAGGTTTGTGCGTCAAAAAAGTCACTGGAAGAGGCGTTATCACTCGTAGAAAATAATATATCTGTGCTTGTCAGTGAAAAAGAAGGAGCTTTAGCCGGTAGAGCTGCTGCAGAGACAGAGCTAGAGAAAGTAAAAGAGGAAGTTGATATTCAGACTGGCAAACTAACAGAGGCATATAAGACCATAAAGTTACTCGAAGATTCCCTATCGCAGGTACAGGACAATGTTTCTTTACTCATTGAACAAAACAATGAAGTTCAAATTGGTAGGACCAATTTAGAGGGTGATCTAAAGAAACTGCAAGACGAAGCTCGATTCCACGATAACAAGGTAGCAGATGCCCAGGCAACCATAAAATCACTGGAAGATGCATTGCTGAAGGCTGAGAATGATATTTCTGTACTTGAAGGTGAAAAGAAAAATGCTGAAGAAGAAATATTAACTCTTAATTCCAAGTTAAATACATGCAACGAAGAGTTGTCTGGAACTAATGGCAGCACAGAAAGCAGGTCCATAGAGCAAAGTTGTCACCTACATAATCTTCACCTGTTACTGAAGGATGAAACTCTGTTGTCCACTGTGAAAAGATGTTTTGAGAAGAAATTTGAGGGCCTGAAAGATATGGAACTCATTCTAAAAAATATAAAGGACCGTTGTGTTTCCATGAATTTAGAAGAGCTGCAAAGATACCTAGTGTTGGAGGTATATATGCTTTTCTGTGGAGAAAGTTTTGTTCCGTACGGTTCACTTTATTTTTTCTTTTGTGCATGCCATGCAGATGCTGGTGGACCAGAATCCATTTTGCATTTTGAGCTTTCCTTTTTCTTCTTTTTATATTCTCTTTTTGTTGTCAATTTCTTACTTCTTCCCGGCAAGAATATGTTTGGCTCTGATAAAACCAAACTCCTTTATAATTAGAATGTCGCTGTGATGTGTTCCCAATGACTCAATATTTTTTATCTTTGTTTTAATGAGCTCCTTTTATTACTTATTCCAGGAAGATTCATATGCAACAAAGTCTTTCTCAGATGGCCTTGACAATTTTTACAGTGTTGAAAAGGATAATGGTGAGGCCAGTGTTTCCGATGCTGATATGTCCTCATATTTGAAGAAGACTGCAGAAAAGTTTCAGTTGCGAGACAATATTCTTGCAGAAAATGTTGAACGCTTCTCTTCTTCTGTAGATGAGTTTATTGCAAATCTGTTGAGAAATCTACAGGCAATAAGGGATGAAGTAATCACTATGTCCGAGAACATGGAGTCTGTCAAGGAAAAAGCAACTAATCTGGAAATAAGTAAACAGGAACAGGAGGATACAATAGCCAGTTTAGAAAATGATCTTAACTCTCTACTCTCTTCTTGTACTGATGCTACTGGAGAACTTCAGTTTCAAGTCAAGAACAATTTACTTGAACTGAGCTCTGTTCCTGAGCTTGAAGAATTGAAACATTATCTGTTCCTAGAAACAGGAGCAATTGGTGGAGAGACCACAGAAACCAATGAGCAAGGTCTATACGGCAGCAAATATGGGAAAACTGCAGAAATGTTGTCCATTTCTATTAGAAAAGTTAAAGCTTTGATTAAACAGTTTGAGAGCGCAAGTAAAGTGGCAGCCTCTACAATTGAAGATTTGCAGAGTAAACTGACAGAAGCGAGGATGACTGTTGAGAAAGCCGTTGAAGAAAGGGATCTTGGACAAAATAGGATTTCCAAGTTGGATGCTGATGTAGAAGCATTACAGAATTCATGCAGTAAGCTGGCACTTAGACTAGAGGATTATCAATCCAAAGAGGATAAGTTGAACGAAAAAGAGGCAGAAGTTTTATCACTGCGCAATGCTTTGTCAATGAAGGAACAAGGTGAATATCTTCTCTTTTCTTTCTTATTCTCTTTTTGATGTTGCTGAACATATTTATTTTGATGTTGTAATGACTGTAAGTGCTCTAATGACTTACTTATTCATGTTGCTTGTTTCAGAGGCGGAAGACTCACTCCTGTCAGCATCTGAAATCAAAATCCTCTTTGACAAGATCAGCGGGATTGAAATCCCTATGCCAGAGTCACATGGAGGAGACTTGGAGCCCCACATTTCATCTCATGTGAATAAACTATTCTACGTTATTGATAGTATTAGTGACCTTCAGCATCAGATAAACTTCTTGTCTTATGAAAAAGACGAGCTGCAGTCAACTCTTGGGACTAGGAATCTTGAAATTGAACAATTGAAGGAGGAGGTTGAAAGTTATGATAGAGATAGACAAGGTAGAGAGAAGATGAAAAATGAACTGTCTCTGCTCATATATAGTTTGGAAAAAATTATAGATATGTCAGGAGGTAATGATTTAGTAGGAGACCAGAAATCTTCTGGTGTGACGGGACTTCTATCAGTGTTGGAGAAGCAGGTTAGGGCTTTACAACTGGAATCTGAAAGTTCAAAATCAAAAGCCCAGGAACTTGGTACTAAGTTGGGAGAGAGCCAAAAGATTGTGGAGGAATTATCGACTGTGGTTAATTCACTTCAAGGAAGGGCTGCTCAGTCAGAGATTGTCCAGGACAGGAGCATCTTTGAAGCACCTTCATTGCCTACCGGTTCAGAGATATCTGAAATTGAAGATGGGGTAAATGTTTATTTATATGATTCCATTATAATTCCATTCTCTGCGTCGTTACCATTTGATTCCTTTTGAACATGTTGATATATGCTATAAAAATTCCAATTAAGTTGAGGTGTTTTACGGTGCAAAAATTAGTAGGTGTGCCTATTGTTAGTTGCATGCCGAACAATATCAGTTGTGGTTTTTTGTACGGAGACCTGTAAGAGTTGAAGTTTAATCAAATTTTTCAGGGATCACACGGAAAGAACGGGATATCTCCTGTCCAATCAGCAGCTCATGTGCGAACTATGCGAAAGGGTTCAACTGACCATCTGGCAATTGAAATTGGATCTGAATCTACCCGGTTACTCAACAGTGAAGAAACTGATGAGGACAAAGGTGTGCACTTTATGATTTGTCTATCGTTCCAAACACCTTTAAGGCCTGGTAAAACTTATTTCCTTATGTTTTTATTTTCTTGTCCTTTTCCAGGTCATGTATTCAAGTCTCTCAATGCATCTGGTCTCATTCCAAGACAGGGAAAGTTGGTTGCAGATCGAATAGATGGAATTTGGTAAACTCCCGAGATTAACCTTGTTATATAGCGAAGGGGGTCGCGGTGGAAAACATCAAAATCCTTTCTTCTTTTCACCTTCTTTTTTCTGAAACCTTATTACACGAAAACCTTAGTAGCTGCCTAACATCTAACACACAGCATATTTAGCCGTTGTTTTGATCAATGCAGTCTGCCACATTTCCTATGTTTCGCTTGATTCTTATTTGTTTTCTAATATATATACGCAGGGTATCTGGCGGGCGGGTTTTGATGAGTCGCCCGAGGGCAAGGCTCGGACTTATCGTCTACTGGCTCTTCTTGCATCTGTGGCTGCTGGGAACCATTTTGTAACCAATCAAGTCTCTGGTTGCCCCTCATTAGGGTGTGCAACCAAATTGTATCATAGACAGACATTTTGTCTTTTCCTTTTGCTGTTCTTTTCTTTCGCTTTGCATATATGTCTCATCCCCAAACTATAAAATTCGATGCAATCACATTTTTTTTAGGTTGCAGAGAATCAAATCGCAGGTGGAGAATTTTCCACATTTTGTTACTTGTTTTGTTTCATCGTAGTAGTTTGGTATATGACACTCGGTGAACCTCAAAATCTCTCTAGTGAATCCAGTAACACAGACACACTTCTTAACTTTCGGAATTTCTCATTTGATGAATCGTGTTTCTAAAAATTATTCGTAAATTATTTGTGTGATATGACACGGGAACAACTCATGTCACGGATTTATCGTCACTTGAATCCGCCACGGTAGGTTCGGTGTCAATAACACAAAACATATGGGAAAAAGTTGACACATGTTTTTATATTATCGGCATGAGACGTCACGTGGTAATGTATCTGTGTGTATGCAAGTCTTTAATAATCAAAGATTTATGGTTATTCACCATTCTATTTGGTGTCAAACGATTGAAATTAAAACAATAAAAGCACATCAGCAGATAAATGATCGTACATGAGAACATTTCTGTGAATAACATACAGGATCCATCCCTGGTCCGGATCCCTATCACCAAATCCATCAATTCAGTTTCTTGAAATTTGATCAAACGGCTAAAAACAGAAACTCTTTAAAAATTATAATAATTTTAACCGTTAGATCAAATTTCAAAGATTCCGATTAATGGATTTGATGGTAGGGAGAGGATCCCATTCCCCATTCCTGGTGTTGCGCCGGCTTTCAACATTAGTCAACTTTAGGATATCGTTTGTTGTCTGTATTCAATGATCCACGTGGCAACAGTTGTGGTGGTCGTTGGTTGTTCAATCTTGGGGCTTGAAGCTCCGGTCGCTCACTTGCTTCTTTAGCTGTAAAGCACCGGGCTTTTAGTCGCCGTTTTTACTCCATAATTTTACTCAGAGGTTCGTAAAACGCTCGTTAAATCTTCATCTTCCAATTTTTTTGCTCAAATGAATAAAAACTAAACCGAAATTTCATTTCCGAAACTGGGTTTTACTCAGAGGTTCGGATTGGACTCTGGCCTGCAATTGGCCAATGGGTTCCCTTTCTGTGATCTCATTGAGTTGGGGAAGCTCTATCTTCATTGGTTAGTCCTTTACACTGCTTAAAGTTATTTCTTTCTTCGGATTAAATTTTTATTGTATCGAGAACACAAGTCACGTGGTGTTATAATTTGAGTAGAATTGTATCGCCACGCGGCCGGTACATCGAAAAATTGGCCTTCTGTGTTGGAGTTTATGATTATGCTTCTTGATTTGGTAGTATAAAGTTTGAACCTTTTTGTTCAGGTGGGAAGTTTGATGTGCACAAAGCTTTGCCTCCCAAATTATGTAGTGTGAGAATTTCGTATATAATTTTTTTTTATACAGTATTTGGTGTATAGAAGTTGGGTTTTGATTTTGTTATAATGTGAATTCAATTGTGTGTTTCTGTCTTGGCAGGGAGTTGCAATTAGCCCGAGAGCTTTTGCAAGTCAGAATTCGGTGAAGAAATTGAGAAGGGACGGGCAGGCACGAAAAAAGGTAGCAGATAAGAGCATTGCTTCCGAAGATGATTGTGTTAAAAATGACGAGAATGTGGAATCTTCTGTTAATTTAGCTGCAGAGGAACTGGTTGCATTCCCTTCCAGAGGTGCTGTGCTTCAGGCTTGCACTGTTACATCCGGGTTGATAGCGGCTTTGGGTATAATTATTCGACAGGTAGGATTTACTTAGTGTGTTCCTGAATCGATGTTCTTTCAAGTTTTCGGTTCACGCAAATCAACTGTTTTCACTGTCCTATTTTACCTTGTTGAGAACAGGATCATAGGCCAGTCTGTTTTGTAGACCAGGATATACATGTTGGACCTTGTCGAACATACATGCTGCACTGAAATTTCTTAAACATCATGCTGTGACACAATTGTCCTTGTTTCTGATTATTTTATGTGCTGAAGTTCATATTTTGTCTGAGAAAATCAATATGTTTTCCCACGAACGTCGACTAGTCATGACCATACACATCTTCCATCAGAACCTGAATTATAAATTAAAAGTTAAAATGTTTTCTCCGAGGCCCGAGTTTAGTTAATAGTTAAGACATTCTACTCTAGAGTGTAATGTTACTCTCAGGTTTTGTAAAAGGAACAGAAAAGTATGGTTGGAGTTTTGCTTAACTTGGTAAGTAATCTGCATTTTAAATTTTATATCTTATCTGCAACTTGCAGGCATCTCATGTTGCAAAGATTGAAGGATTGCCAGTCTTTGACTGCTCATTGGAAGTACCATGTATGAACACATACATGCTATCTCGATGCAAGAATTAGTAGTGAAAATTTTGTTCTTATTCTCTTTGGCAAAGACAGTCTATAAGCTGTTACCGAAGCAAGATACTTTTTATTGCCTTCTTCTTTGTTTTCCTTTATGTTTTGGATTTTTAATGTCTTTTTTCTGGATTTAGTTGTTTCATTAGTTTCAAGAGCATAACTCGTTTCCCCCGTCGGGTCCAGTTGATTTTGAGGTGTGGCATCTTCAGTTGATTTCTGGATTGGTTATTCTGATATCACTTAGCCGATATCTATTATTGAAGACATGGCCGGATTTCGCGGAGTCCAGCGAAGCAGCCAATCAGCAGGTACCTACTTTCTGTTCTAGCTGTATATCTTCAAGGACTCTGTCAATATAGTAATTCAGTCCCACATTGCTGCTTGAAGACATCGTTTTTTATTGATAGTGTCGTCCATAGTTGATTCCGCATCTCTCCATTTCCTGTAATTTAGGTCCTTACATCACTTCAACCTTTGGACTACATAATAGTTGCATTTTTGCCTGGGGTCAGCGAGGTTAGCTAGTACTTGTAACCTGATTGTAGTATTGTTCAGTTCTTCTCTGCTCAGCTAATTTTGCATTAATTCATCGTGCATTGGATGGACAGGAACTTCTTTTTCGGGGTGCCTTGCTACCACTTTTTGGATCTAATTGGAGGAGTGCCTTGGTAGTCGCCATCATTTTTGGTGTTCTACACCTGGGCAGTGGCCGAAAGTATTCCTTCGCTGTTTGGTACTTATCCTTTTCTGGTTCATTCATGTCATTGTTAGACAGTTTTCCTTTTTTCATTTCATATTTCACGTATAATTATTTCGATGAACTCTCATGAAACTGCATTGAAGATTAGTTATGATTTTGCGTTAAAACGTGTTTCAGGGCAACTTTTGTGGGTCTTGTGTATGGTTATGCAACCGTCGTCTCCTCTAGCCTTATCGTGCCAATGGCTTCTCATGCAGTCAACAATTTGGTTGGAGGGATGTTATGGCGTTACCGATCAGATTCATCACGGAAGTTATGAGAAGACTGCCACTGTCACCCTTACCAGAAAATGTACATAATTTGTCTTGTAAATTGGGGAGTGTATAGCTAGTGAGGCACTATTACTAAAACGTATTACTTCTGTATATCTATAAGGAAGAAAGTTGAAACAAAACCAATGCACACACGGTTTGCATAACCACGCGAATAGTGTGCAAGTTTTGATTCACTTTGTCAGTATTTCGCACTAAGTATGTACTCTAGTCAATCCCATTATTTTTAACGTATTTGTGTACTTTTAAAAGAACTTTTGTCTTCTTTTTTATGCCATTTAAAAACTTCATGATGTAAAACTAGTAAAACTAAAATTTTGAGGTGAGCAACTAAGATGATACAAGGACATCGATACTCAATCAGTTGTCTCTTCATGATATCGTATGATTAACACAAAACGCTATGATTGTGGTACATCCATGCCAAGTTCTTCTAACCTTGTAGTTAAAACGCTGTTAATCCAAAACAAGTTCAAATAAAAACAAACAAAATTAGACCTGAATTGACCTATAAAAACCTGTTTAATCTAAATTTTGGCACCGTTGACCAATAAAAACAAGAATCGAAACCACGAGTAGTGTTGCAAGTTGCAACAGCTTTATTCGAAGTTTGGAAGCGCAGTTGCGGGTACGAGTACGAACGCTTCCCGCAAAAGCTGCCGTGGTTATTCGCGGTTTGCTTAGAAATCATCAAATCAATAGGGACGCCAGCGTTTTGGATAATTAAGCAGAAGAAGCAGCAGCAGCCTTTGACCAAAAACGCGCTTTTTCAAACGGCAAGTTTTGTTCCCGCGTCCGATATGAGCGGGCGCCTACTCGATCTAGGAATTACCGAATCCTTCGACCTTATCCTTTTCTGCCTTTTTACTCTCTAATTTTCCCTTTATATATATATATATTTCTCTTAATCCCTTCTTTTCAATCAAACAGTAACTCCTAATCTCTCAGATTCTTTGAAGTTTAAACCCTCTCTGTGAATTGATTCCAATCTCCCCAGATTTACACATCAATGGCAGCGGTATGTTTTTTTTGTTTTCCTTCATGTCTTGTAAATCTTGTTTTCCTGATCTTAGAGATGTAGGGTTTGTTTTTCTATCATCTGTGCATGAGACGTCCGTCTGTTAGGGTTTTTAGAAAATGACAGATTTTGTATTGATAACACGTCAGTGACGATCCATCTTATACAGAAAAATGGACGTTCGAAGTCTAGAAGTCACAGAAAGATCAAAAGTGTGATTATTACACAGGAAATTGTTTCCATGAATAACATTATTTGCTTACTGTATAAATTGTAGTATGAGAAGGGAAGGGCGTCAGTAGGGGGAGGGGGACCTCTACCAAAATTTGGGGAGTGGGACGTGAACAATCCGGCATCGGCTGAAGGATTTACAGTCATATTCAACAAGGCCAGAGATGACAGAAAGTCTGGTGGAACTCCATTGATTAATGTTGCAGCAGCACCAGAAAAATATGCTTCCCGTAAAAAAAGTGACAAATATAATAATCACCCCAAAAAGGTAATAATAATTATTAATATCCATGCCTAATTATTTAACAATTTAAGTTTGTTTATATCTCTAAATTCTGATTGAATGTATATCGCAACTAATTATCTACCTACACTTTGTGGATGCAGAGCAAGTGGCTTATCTGCTGCGGTTCTTAGGGTTTCTGGACATTGACTCATTCGAAAGAATCTTGCACGACAAGAAAACAATATTGTTCTTCTTATTCCTTAATCCTTTTTTTTTTCTTTTCAATTTTGATGTGTTACTCCTTGATTTTTCCATTTCAAGGAGAGCGATATATTGAGGAACGAATAATGAAATACTATTTAATTTTTTTCATTAGCTGTTTTGTTTTATTTTATTTGCCCAATCTGTTGAATGCTAATGCAACCTACAATGGAACTGGTTGACTGATCTGTAATAGTCACCTCTAGATCACATTTATACTCTTGGCCAAATCATGGAAAAATTCTTTCATTACGGGATATATTATATCACGCGTCCGATCACATTTTTTTTCATTCAGATTGCTTTACCAGTCGCATGGTGCCACATCATTCAGTAGTTCCACGTAAACTTTCATTGACAAATACATCGATATATTATTGACAATTATTTAAGTAAAGTAGTGATGGAATTAATAAGATGAACAAATGTGGTAGTCAATAATGTATGAATATACTTATTGATATTGAATGATTTGAGAAGCCAATTAATCAGATAGTTTCAAATTCTGCTAATTGATCCGACGAATGACTTAATCTAGATCCACCCATAATACACACTCCTGAAAGTGTAGCCGGACAAAAGATGCGATCCAACCCAAAAATTTGTCCAAATAATGCTCCTCTCTAAGCCTTGGTACTTAGGTCATCTCCAACCGAATGAGGACCATATAACCCATTTTAGCCCTCCGGTCCTCCAAAAAATTAATATTTTAATGAACAGTGCAGAACCATATTTCTTACCATTTCCAACTGAGGACTAAAGGGTCATAAGGCCAAACATAATTTATTATTTAAATTTAAAAACTACAACAACTTATATTTAAAAACTACAACTTAAATTTAAAAACTACAACAATTTAAATTTATAGAAAAAAATGAGAACTTTTTAATATTTATTTTTTAAATTTTGGCTGAAAAAAAAAATTCAAATCCAACAGTAACTGACGTTAGCTAGCCGTTGGATTTGAATTTTTTGGGGCTATAAATAGAGTGGATATTGGACTATAATTCACACACCTTTGAATTCAATCTCTTTGAATTCAAGTTTGTAATGAATTTCAACTTTGGATCCTATTTGAATTCCAACTGGGGGTCTTCATCCAATTCCGAATTGGAATAAAAATGGGCACATATGAGACAAGAAGATGAGGAGTCTGATGAAGAAGATGAAGCATGGCGCAACACACAATATGTGGCAACCATGGCTGTGTCCATGGTGTGTCAGCCAACTGAGGAACAACCTCAGTGGGGTGGCTCTGTTATTGGTCGCTTTTACAAACCACAAAACAGAGCGATGACGCATGCCAATCTGATGAACAACTACTTCAACCCCAACTCGGTGTACACATAAGAGGAAATCAAACGTCGCTCCCGGATGAGGTGTCATGTGTTTAAGCGTTTACTTCATGATGTCCAACAGGTCAATCCATACTTTCGATAGAAGTTGGACAGAGCAGGTCGCCCTGGTTTCTCACCTCATTAGAAGGTTACTATTGTACTCCAAATGATGGCATATGCCTCCCTAGCTGATGCAATTGATGATACATATGGTATGTATGAGTCTACATGTCTTGATACTCTTGCTGAATTCTGTGACACAATTGTTCATCTTTACAAAGGGGAATACCTCCGTGAGCCAAATCAAGAAGATCTGGATCGGCTTCTTTGCAGAGTTAAAGATTGTGGCTTTCCAGGCATGATAGGGTCATTAGATTGCACGCATTTGAATTTGAATAACTATCCCACTAGATAGCAATGAGGCTTTAGCGGAAGGTCGATAAAGCCAACTATTGTGTTAAAGGCGGTTGCTTCGTATGGCACATGGATTTGATATGCTTTCTTTGGAGTCCCCGGATCGCAAAATGACACTACAGTTCTTAAGCGTTCACCCCTCTTCAATAACCTGACGGAAGGTAAATCACCTCATCTTGACTACTACATCAACGACCGTTAGTACAATATGAGGTATTACTTGGCAGATGACATCTACCCAAAGTGGGTGACAATTGTCCAAGCAATTCCAAACCCTGTAAATGACGCCAAAAAGTGTTTTACCTTACACCAAGAAGCATATCGGAAAGATGTTGAGAGAGCTTTCGGTATTCTACAAGTACGGTGGAAGATCATCAAGGAACCGGCAAGAGGGTGGAGTCGAGAAAATTTGGACTCCATCATGATGTCTTGGATCATTTTACACAACATGATTGTGGAGGATAAGTGAGATGGGTATATTGATGGAAAGTCTGATGACGACCAAGAGGATCCAAATAGGTTAAGAAGGGCTCGTGCAAAAATATATGATGGGGCTAATTTGCCTTTCAATCCAAGAACTGATAGTATCTCGTTAAATGAGTACATGAGGTGTTATAAGATGATACGTTCCCGTGCCACAAACAAGTACCTATAACAAGATCTTGTTGCACATCTTTGGGCCAAAAGAAGAATATAGTAGGCATTTTAAGTTTTATGTTGTTAAATGTTGTTTAAGTTTCATGTTGTTAAATATTTTTTTATATTGTATAATTTTTATGTTGTTTAATATTATTTAATGTTGTTTAATGCTGTTTCATGTTACTTAATATTATTTAATGGCTTAGGAAGTTATAGGAAAAACAATATAATTTTTTTTTTTAGTTTTGTAAAATAAAAATTTCAAAAATAACGGCTAGCTGACGTTAGCTAGTTACCTTTGCATTCAAATTGTGGCCCAACCCGGGGTCGGCTGGCTGGCTAGGTTGGGTCGGCCGGTTGACCCTTTTTTGTCTAGTGGGACCCACGAGCCATTTGACCTAGTTCTAGGTTGAAGATGATTTTCAAGCTATTTTCAATCCTCTAACTATCTGGACCCTTCATTTGGAGATGACTTTTACATAAACTTGATGTGTTTTTACAATGGATAAAAATTGGATGCTCATTAATGAATACCTTTTGATTTTGCCCAACAATATTTTAACACATATTTTTTTTTTTTAAATAATGACTGGAATTAAGTTGTTTTAAACTTTAAAAATACAAAAAACACACGACACTTTTTTATTAGACACCAAAACATTATCCTTTTGCTGAGATGGCTCTTTAACAAGCCACTTGCGATCTTGGAGTCTTGGATTTTGTAACAAAGGAAAACAATATTTCCACTGTGGTCCCTACTGGTCAAAACTTCGGACCAAGATTGTGTGCGCTCCTAGTTTCCATCCTCTTTCATGCATTTCTACTTTATCAACAATCATTCCATATCAAGTTAATTTAAAGCTCCAGATTTCGTCACGTCACCAACAACACTCAAGTTTTGGTGATGGTGAAGATATTGTGTGCACAGGTTTGCACCTTATGGTGCTTTTATGGAACCACATGTGAGGAGGACGACAGATTCAACTGTTGGTTTTTGCAACTCTCGTCTTAGCTGCAATATTTGAGATTTTACGAAATTAAACGCCTGGACTGAAGCACCAGAAACTGCAGATCCAAAATTTTACAAAAAATATTTGTTTTGCAGAAACCAACAGTTGAATCTGTCTACCATAAGGTGCAAAACTGTGCACACAACATCTTCACCATCACCAGCATCTTCACAATCTTGGTCCATTTTACGGCAAGAAAATTGGAGTGGGAGGGAAAGGTAGAAAAATTGGGCATTAAAGAAACTTGAGTATTTTTGGTGACGTGGCAAAATCTGGAGCCTTAAGTTAACTTGGTATGGAATGAATGGTTGATAATGTAGGAGGGCATGGAAGGGATGGAAACTAGGAGGGCAGACAATCTTGGTCCCAAAACATCACGTGCGAAAGTCAAGCTGCCATTGTCCGATGGCTTGCACTGCACAGAAAAAGGACTCACCTTGAAGCTGATGACTTGGTGGGCGGGGCGTCCTAAAATCTTCTGGTTTCGGATCCTAAAAACGTACTGGGTGAACCCGAATACCCCAAATGCAAAGAAAATGGTAAGCTGCGCCGTGGAAGGTGGCTGTGCCAGCGACTACTTAGCCGTAGCCATATCGGCCGTCTGTTTCATTCTGTAAGTTTTTCAGGCTCTAGTGGGTCTCTATCTGTTTAAATTCATCACAGTTTAATAGGTTTTGTTGGGTTTTTTCAAATTAGTTTGCTTTGGGGTTTTGGGATTCTGATGCTCTTGCTGATGGGGAAGTTAGATTGGGTGAAATCTTGTAACATATTGCTTGCTGGGTATCTGTTTGATTTAATGTCTCAGAGAGAATTTTGAGTTAAAGCAAAAGATTTGAAATTTCCATGTGAAAGGGTGCAATAGGGTATCCAAATTTGTAGCCTTTAGCTTTCTATGAGTTAATTAGTTTGGATAGAAGTACTATTTGATGTTCAAGGTTTGATAAGCAAAGTTGTTGACCTCATTTTTAATAGTGAATGAATGGAAAGAAATTATAGAACTTTCAGATTATATATGCTGATTTGTTTGCTCATGTGCTTTGTGTTATTCTGTGATTATTATACTTTTATGCTAAACAAACCTCACTCATAAAATAACTCCAGTCTTTTGTATGGTTGGTTTCTTTCTTTCAGGCTTCTTTCACGGGTAATCTTACCCTTTGCCGTTCACAAAATTCCTCTTCCGAAACGCAGTAGCTTTTGGATTCCAGTGATTCAAATTTACGCCAGCTTCAACCTTTTGTTGTCGCTTGTGGTGATTATCGATTTCTATGTTCAATAATCCATCAATACTGTTCTTAATAACTTCAGCTGTTATAAGTTGTATTATGGGGATCTTTTGTTACCATTTATAAATAAAGCATGTTTTCCTGCAGATGTCTCTCAATTTTCTGAAATTCGAGAAGACATATTGGTGGCAGTCTTGCTATCTTTGGGCAGGTTGTTTACTGATTTTATCATGACTTTGAAGTTAATTTTACAGTTTCTCGTTTGTGAATTTCTATAGTTTTGTGTACTCTTTTAAGTATCTTTTTTTTTTTCAGTCTGGATTGGAGCTCCTCTTGGCTTTGGTTTACTACTTAGCTGCCGCATATCACAGGCCTTTCAACTGTATTACATTTTTGTAAAGTAAGCATATGTTTTACATACTTAAGAAATCAATGTTGCATTGTAAAGCTCAATATTACAATTGGGCTGCAACTCGCCAAGTATTCAATCAGAAAATTAAGCTGCGGAACCAAAACCAATTAAGAAAGAGATTTAGGTTGCATTTGTATTGGTTTTTATTGATAACCTGTGTGCTACACTTATGTGCAATTGAAATTTCAGGAGGTGTCTACCACCAATCAGATCTTATATTTTTCTTCCACTAATTCTCTTGCCATGGTTTGCTTGGGCTGCTTGTAAGGCTCTCTGAATTGATTTCTACTTGGGATATCTACTCTGGAGGTCTGTGTCTTACACAGTGTGTGTTGTATGATTTGTAGTGATCCACATCAAAAGGCCTCTAAATCATCGATGTCACGTGGGAACTCAGTGGATCATCCCAGACATGTCCCTCCACGCACTATATGTTGCCATTTTGGTAGGATTCACGGGGGCTATTCGGCATATAGAGTTCAGGTTTGACGAACTTAGAGATCTCTGGCAGGGAATACTTGTATCAGCCTCTTCTATTGGTACACCACAGTGATCTATTTTTGGTTTGTTCGATGAATATCAAAAATGATACTCCAAATTTTTTCCAATGAAGGGTGTTCATCTTAATCCAATTCAGATTAGATTTCTTTAGTTTGAATGACAAGTGGTCCCAAATATAGTCTTGTTGTATAGGCCTTATTGGTATCTCTGTCATAAAGTTTGTGGGGGGTTTTCGACTACATAAAGTTGTATAAGGGAAAACATAGTAGATGCGGTTGTACTCATTTGTTGGACCTCACTAATTGTCTGCCTCACATGGCAATCAAACTATACATTTTGACCTGCAATTTGTTTCTCTGATAGGAGTCGAAATAAATGTTTTAGGCATGACATAAAAAATCTCTACTAATGTTTCGTGCTTCCATATTAATCTTGAAAAAGAGGAAGGCACAATAGTCCTAGCATTTTCATTTGTTTCCTTGGCTGCTAAAAGGCTAGTTTACTTCTGCTCTTAGATATTGTGGAAGAATCTATCATGTTACTGAAAACTGCGTCATTGATTCTTAACTTTCTTGTAAGATGATGAAGGCTGCAATATATCAGTAATATATGGTTAATTGAATCAGTACAACTTGTTTGCCCTGCTTTTGACTGGTTCTCCTTATTGCTTCCAGGAGTATGGGTTGTTGCTCACATTTTGAATGAAATTCATGATGATATCTCTGGGCTTCAAGTTGCCTCTAGATTTGTGCTCTTAGTTACGGTATGATTTATCATCTGGTAGTAGTAGTACCTTTTCATGTTATGCACCTGTGTAAAAGTACTTATGCGTTATGCGTGTGCTAACATTTCTAAGGTATATATGATAGGCAAGCATTCTTGTGTTAGCTTTATTTTCGATATCAAGTTCACAACCTCTTCTATCACAAATCAGCTTGAGGAAAAGGGAGCCCCTATCATTTGAGACAATGGGTAAGGCTCTGGGCATACCTAACAGTGGAATGCTATTGCCAAGGGAACCAGCACCTGTGGTGGATCCTAATGAACCACTTGATAAACTTCTTATGAACAAAATATTTCGTCAGTCCTTCATGGAATTTGCAAACAGGTATTCCGTTTTTCACTAAGTTACATATTTAAAAATACATTTGCACTAATAATTATTATGCCGAAATATACTCTTGAGTACAGAACACGACTTTCTCCTGAAGCTAACTGAAAAGAAATAATGAATTGCCCAAAGGCTGAAAGTAATTTTATCCAGCCAAATGGAACCTTCAAAGATTATGCATTTTTCTATCAAAAACTTGCAGTGGTATCTATTTTCTGCACGGACAATTGAGATAAAGAATAAATCATTGATCATGTGGAGTATTTATTTTGTTCTATTGTTCTTCTTAATCACAGTTGTTTGGCAGGGGAGAGTGTCCATTTTTATGAGGAAGTGCATGAACTTGGTAAAATACCAGCGGATGATCCTGTAAGAAGGATTTACATGGCACGGCATATCATTGACAAATACATAATTGCAGGTTTGTAATTTTGTCAGTGAAAGCCAACATTTTTGTTCTGCTGCTTAACAATATGATTTACCGTCTTCAACCTAGTCTCACAAATATGTGGGGGCATTTTTTTTCCAATTTCACCATACAGGTGCAGCAATGGAGGTGAACATTTCTCACCGAAGCAGACAAGCAATTTTGACTACTTCCAATCTGGCACAACCAAATCTTTTTAATGATGCTTTAAATGAGCTGATACAGCTGATGAAAACGGTAGGATGAATATTTCAGGCTCCAAAATTTTTTCTTCAACTGACTTTAGTATAATATTACAGTGGATTGATTTCTAAGCTTTTCTTTCTCTTTTTTCACCCTCTGAAGAGCTTGGCAAAAGATTTCTGGTCATCCATATACTCCATTAAGTTCAAAGAAGAAGCCAGTATGAGATCTCATGAGCTGGAACAGATGACAAGTTGGAACCCCTCTCCCACTCCTAGGTTGAGTTCTGTACGTGGCGTTGATGATCCATTTCACCAAGAACAAGAATCATGACTTTGGCTGTAACACACATCACCAAGGCCTACAATGAGCCAGACATGGAAAAATATGGTAACTGGAAGCTTGTTAGACCCACAAGGGTATGCTTCCGACAACATTATCGCTTGGACGGTATGAACAAACTGAAGATTAAGAAGAGATATGGAAGTTTCATGAAAGTTTAGCAAACTTTTGTTTGGTGATTACCGGACACATGAAGAAGTGTTTGATTCTAGCTAGTTTTTGAAGGCGTAGCGTCACTTGATCTGTACATACCCCCTCTTCAGATATATTATGAGTTACACTACCGTCTAAAAATTGAAAAAATGATTCTACAAGTAGTTTCCAGCTGTTGTGATATTCATGTTTTAGTTATGGAGAGGAAGCATAACAAGGGCTCGGGAAGAACTTGCGTGTAACTGGGTTTCATGCGGTCTTCTTTCTTCGTCTTCAATCACGACTATAATCATGTGATGAGGAACACTAAAAGTAGAGCGATACGGAAACAAGCTGCAGTTAAGTATTTGCCAAGGGCTCATGTAGAACTAGGGTGAAAGGAGTGAGGATCCTCGCTGAATCATTTTTGTGAGGATCCTAGAGATTCTCATATCACATCCGTTCAACATATATTGTGCTGTTAAAAATCATTGTAATTTTTTTTTATTTAAAATTAAATATAAACAGTATCTGACGAAAATTGATCGCCCGCTGAACGGATATGATTAGAGGATTTCCAAGATCCTCGTAAAAAGAATGCGAGGAAAATCCTCTATCCGGGTGAAAGTTCGGAAACTAGTACTATAGTCTTTTCAATAAATGAAATAAACAAGTTTTCCCAAAAGTAAAAACAGTATGTACCGTCTCCCCAAATCAATCCCAATGACAGATCACACCAGTAAAAGCTGCTACCATATATAGACAGCTCTTAAATGGTGTAGAACTTCCCTATAGTCTGTCTTCTTCCCCCAAAACCCAAAAAAGATGGTGCCTCCATTTCATGACCTAACGACCCAACCCCTCTGGCTTCTCCTTCCTTCCACTCTTGGCTTCTTCATCCTCCTCAAGCATATCACCTCTCTGGCCAAATGGGTCTTCATCCTCCTCCTCAGAGCCCCCAAAAACCTGAAAAATTACGGCTCGTGGGCATTGGTCACCGGTGCAACCGACGGCATAGGAAAAGCATTTGCCTTCCAACTTGCCCAAAAAGGCCTAAATATAGTCCTAGTCAGCCGGAACTCCACCAAGCTCAAATCAGTCTCCGATAAAATCCATGCAAACTCTCCCTCTACCCTAATAAAAACCATTGCATTCGACTTCTCAGGCAGCGGCTTGGACGGGTTGGACGAGCAGCTGGAGAAGGAGATCAGGGGTTTGGACATCGGCGTTTTGATCAACAACGTCGGGGTTACATACCCGAGTGCAGGATTCTTTCACGAGGTTGATGAGGAAGTGTGGATGAACGTTGTGAAGGTGAATGTAGAGGGTACAGCTAGAGTGAGCATGGCAGTTGTGCGAGGCATGGTTGAAAGGAAGAGAGGTGCAATAGTTAATATTGGTTCTGGGGCTGGCATTGTTGTGCCTTCTCATCCTCTCTTCACGATCTACGCCGCTACAAAATCGTAAGCATCAAATTTTAAATTAATTTATCTCTCTCTCTCTCTCTCGATCTACGCCGCTACAAAATCGTAAGCATCAAATTTTAAGTTAATTTATCTCTCTCTCTCTCTCTCACACACACACACACATACATCTATATATATTATACATACATATTTTCCTTGAATTTACAAGGTTTGCTAGATCAAAAAAAGAAAAGAAGTTATAATTGAATGCGTGCTACTACCCTCGATCTTGTTATGTCATTAAACCCTTACTAACTAACCGCCTTATTAACTGTATTCATCTACAACTCTGCTATACTGCCGCATGCAGTTTCATGGGTGCCCATCAAGCTTTGCACGTGACGCTTTTGACTAACTACTGAGTCATTTGTTTATATTTCATGCTTTAATTAACGTAACGTTTTCATCCTATGTGAAACATTCAATGTCAAAAGCATTAACAAATTAACCTTTGTACAGCCCCTGTCAATTGGAAGTTCATGGGAATCAATACTCCATCAATTTGACCACCTATATGTTGTCCAACTCTTTAAATAATGCATGTGCAACACACCATTGTGAATTTGTGGCTGTGTGTTGGTACAAAAAAGAATATAAAAACACAAAAATTTTTACGGTACTCGAGGGTATAAGATATTTGAGGTATTTTAATAATTATATCTTGATTTTTGTGTTTTTGATCAAAAATTTAATAATTATTCAAGGTATATCTAGCAAGTTAACACATATTTCTGCTTATACACACATTATTTGGTAGTGATTTATTAAAAAATAAAAATACAATAAATTTTAATTAAAAATTATGTGTGTAAATGCTTTTCTGAAAAAGCACCATTTGAAATTTTCTCAAAAAATTTACTTTTGATTTTGTTATCATTTGGTAATTTTCTTTCTTTTCTAAAGGCAGCATCAAACAAGCCTAGATCCCACTTTTTTTAGATTTCAAAAACACTTTTACATTTTTTCAGATTTCAAAAACACTTTTACATTTTTTTTTTTAAATGCCACTTTTTTTATTTTGTTATCGTTTTTAGCTCGTCAAACGATCCTTTAACTAACTGTTTTTCTGTTGGCCATGCTTAACGATCACGAACACATTTTACATATCTAGTTATTTGTTATTTACTCTTGTAATTGATTGGTTTAATCGGATTGGTTTTACTATCATACATATATTATGCAGTTATGTGGATCAACTGTCTAGATCCCTCCACGCGGAATACAAGATGTACGGAATTGATGTGCAAAGTCAGGTACCATTATACGTAGCAACAAAACTGGCGTCGAGGGTTGCTTCGATCGAAAGGCCCTCCCTCTTCATACCAACCCCAGATGCTTATGCAAAGGCAGCCATTCAGCGGATTGGCTATGAAGCTCGCTGCGCTCCGTTCTGGGCTCACTCAGTCCAGTGGTTCTTCTCGCGCTTGGCCCCCGACTCTCTTCTCGATGCTTGGCGCCTCTCTATTGGTTTAAAAAGAAGGGGGAAGAAACTCCATGAAGAACTAATATAATACCTACTTTGTGTTTTGACCAAAAAATAACACACACTCTGTTATTTCTCTCTTGTGTGAGCAGACAAGTTTATGCAATTAATTTTAGATTATATATGAATTGACATGAGAGGAACTATGATATTACTATTTAAGTTTTTCTACCACATAACTTAATTAAAGCGCTTTTGATTTATCCAAAACTTATTTACATTTTCGTAAGCAATGAAAGAGTAGTTAACTTACAATAGTCTCAGTATCATAGGAGAAATTTTTTCAGTGCCCGGTATTTAAGTAAGTAGTAAACATGTCATAAAATAAGCATAGGGACATGAAAAAATATATCATTTCTTCTCCTTGTATTATAACATGTCAAGTACTGCTTAAAAACCCAATAAAAGGTCGTACCCAGTGCACAAGGCTCCCGCTTTACGCAGGGTCTGGGAGAGTTGAATGTCGGCTAGTCTTACCCCCATTTATGGAGAGGCTGCTCCCAAGTCTCGAACCTGAGACCTACCGCTCATGGGCGAAGGCACTTGCCATCGCACCAAGTGCGACCTCTTTATGCAACACGAGGACTTCCCAGAAGGTCACCCAATACTTGAAAAAATCTCTCATATAATAGAATTATGGTTTATTGTGTGTTTTGTTGAATATAGTTGACTCTGCCACGTCATCATTGAAGTGTAATATTGATGAGTCATCGAGGATTAATTAGAAGGTTGTTAGGGTTGGTTAAAAGTCTGGTATGTTAGTTGTATTGGTTAGCGTAGGAGCTAAGTCTCTCTCTAGCTCTGTATAACTCATAAATGAGTTAGTTTGTCATTCATTCTAGTTCATCAATAGTAAAAGATTGTATTCATTTCTCTGATCCTCTCTCTTCTTCCTTAAAGCTTTTCTCTGCAACTATTCATTTTCTGCAATTCTCATACTCTGCTATCATGGTTTCATCGCCGACGGTCTCGGTCCTAGGTGTTGCTACTTTCGCTGTGCTATATGGTTGCTGATCTCATGTGTGTTTTCTGGGGTTTTCTTCAGTGCCGTTGGGCTTTCATGGAATCATGTTACAAAAACAAAAAAAACAAAAAGAAAAGGTGAAATAAATAGCGGGTCATGCACTAGCATTTAAGTTTTTGAAACTCACCTAACTCAAAAAGACGTCTTGGCCAAATCATTGAAGTTTTGTGTCAGCCTCTAGCATTTGCAACATCCAACTACTCTTCTTTCTTTTCACCATCATACTCAATGGCATGGTCCATTTTTTCAGCTGCTCAACATTAAACTTGTCGTTCAGTCTGTTTACAAAAACGAGAGATTTTTCAGTGTGATTGGTGTATGGAATGGTACACTACGTGTCACTATACGAATAGTGTGATATGTGTTAAAAGTTATTAACTTTAAAAATAAAATTTCTCACAACTTCTACTAAAACACGTGATGTACCACTTGTATTCCCGTCATAATTAAAAATTTCTCTACAAAAACAAAGTCCTTGATTTCACTCACCACGTGGCAGCATCAGTAATGGAATTACATGAATTTGTGGCAAGCACTATAGGGTTCATCTCTCTTTGCAATCCTCCTCCAATTTTTTGAGATGGGTATGGGTCACGTTCCTGACACCGCCAAAGAATCTCAAGGAGTATGGCTCGTAGGCAATCGTTACGGGCTCTGCTGATGGAATCAACAGAACCCTTGCCTTTGAAATGGCTTCAAAGTGTCTTAACTTAGTTTTGCTTGATCGAAACACTTCAAAGCTTGAAGCTAGCTCCAATGAAATACGTGAAAAATATGGTGGAAAATTGGCATTAAGAATATTCATGGACTTGGCAAAGTTTAGTGGGGGAGGAAATAGCTAATTCCATGGTGGAAGAGGTAAAAAGGGCTTGATGTTGGTATTTTGGTAAATAGTGCAGGAGTGGCTTACAGATTTGGTAAGTTCATCCATGATGTGGATGATTGGGAGTTGATGGAGATCCAAGTACGCTCAAGAAGAAGATGGGAGCAATTATCAATCTTGGTTCTGCCTCTCATGCCGTCCTTTCCTCTGTTCACCTTCTTTCAAGCGATATTCTGCTTTAAGTTAAATTATCTAATCGTAAAAATCAAAGGGATTAAAACTTGGGTGTAGACGAGGAGCACATCATTTCTAACCAAACCTTTGTTTCATATTTTTATATCTCGTGGTTAGGCGATTGGTATGTGTTTAAGTGCAAGTCTATATAGCCTCGTAGATTGAAGGCCATACATTTTACTTCACATAGGCACCAACACTTTCACGTGTCCTAAGATTGCACCAACATTTTCACGAGTACTCCTCTATATCTTCCCAAAAGATCACTTGAAAGTTGAAACCCACAAGGCAAAATGAAGGCCCAATGTTGATAATATCATATGCCTTGACCCTCTTGGAAAGTCCAATTAATTTATTTGAATTTCGATCGGAGAAAATCTTAGATACAACCGGTTATTTTTTATGGAAATTTTTTTTCTTTTAATGGGGTCATAATTAGATTTTTAAAGATTCTTGCTTATTGTAATACGAAGTTCGTATATATTAACCCTTATGATTATATTTTTCTTAAAAAAAATCCCGTTTATGTGATTAAGAATGCATGCGTTATGTTGTATATATAGGTACCTTTCGAAGTTGTCAAGAAGCATTAGCTTGAAATACAAGCAGCATGGAATTGACATTCAGTGCCAGATTCCTTCTTCCCACCACCAGATATATACAGCATAGCAAGCATGCGATGGATTGATTGGCTATAAGAACCAATGTTCGCCCTACTGGTGCCACTCTCTGCAGTGGCTCATATTACATGGATTGCCCGATGCTATTGTATTTTGGTACGCCCATCGGTTGCGAAAGATTGGCCAATTGAAAAGGTTGGACAATAAAACGATGCAGCAAACAGCATGAAAATGATGAAAATCCAGTGCGCGCATTCTTTGTTTTGGTTAAGATTGTGAGGTGTTATTTGGTTTGCAGTGGCTAAGGAATCTTACCAAACAAATTCACAATGGACATATGATTCACCAATGGGAAAATTAATGTGAGTTATGGGAACATTGTCACGTCTTTAGTCCAGTTCGCACGTTACTAAAATTATACTTTAAATCATAATTTTGTCTTTCATTTATATAATTATATTATATACAACACTCATATGAACGCAAGCACGTGGGATTATCTTTCCGTATCTTTCCATCCTCTCCTTTTAAATTCTCTATGTTGTCTTTATCTTTTTATAAAAAATTAATAAAAAATGTTAATATGGTTTAACCGTGATCGTTCATATAAGAGGGGAGGGAAGGGGAGGGAAGGGAAGGGAAGGGAAAAAAATAGGGGAGAAAATCATACTCCCATCGCAGGTTGCACTGGCAATTAATGCTTTTCTTGACACCTGGTGTTCCAATGAATGAAAATTAAACACGTGGCTATTCCATGTTTCAGTTAAGGAGTGTGATATTCACACATCTCATTTTACTTCTCACACACTCTTCTAATTTTCGGTTATCAAATCGGATGAATTAAAGAAGATAAACGGATAGAAATTAACAAGAGGTGTGTGAGAAGTAATTTGGGATGTGTGAATAGCGCACCCTTCAGTTAAATTGCATTTTGATAATTTCTGAGATAGTGGGCCCCACAAACTAGAAAAGAGAAACTTCGCTAAACTCCGTCAAACTCCGTCTTCATCTCTGCCGTCTAAAAAGAGGAAAAGCGAATTCAAATCGTCCAGATTGCTGCGATGTGCAAAGGCCTCCTCCATCATCCAGATTGCTGCAACGTGCGATGGCCTCCTCCTCCTCCTCCTCCTCCATCGTTAATTTCTCAGTTCTCTGAAGTTTCTTTGAGTAATTTCTTATTCTTTTATGGGTATTTATGGGTTTTTATTTTTCTTCTTCTGGCTTTGATTTTGATGAAATCAAACAAGGAGTATTGAATGATTTGGCTTGACAAGGCATGCATGGTGACCTATTTGCACTGATCTGTCTGTAAAATGAGGTTTTTATCTAATTTCATGAAAGGGCCAAAATGACCCAACCAAGGAAAATGACAGTACAACTCAAAGGAACTGTCTGAAACTAAGCACAGGTTTGGTATTGCTATGCTTTGAAAAAAATTTATTTCAGCTGTGATGTGAGAATAAGTTCATTTTTGTTGTTTCACGTTTTCAACTTTTTTTTATCCAAAATTATGAAATTAAGTTATTTTTAAATGTTTACCAAATATCTTTTTCAACACAGCTTTTTTTATATCTATTTTTTATAAAAGCATCTTAGGTTGATAACTGCAGTAGATTGGTTTATCTGTATGAGGGCAGGGACGGCCATCAGAACTAAGGACGAGAACAAGTTTGACAGACTTTCTTGTCACTTTGGTATTTTAAGAATGCAATTTAATTGGGAAATGGATTCTCTCCTGAGCGTATGCTCAGGATCCTGCGTTGGATGAAAATCCAATGGCTATAAATAGAGAGTTTCTTTAAAGTTATAATAATTGTAACCGTTGAATTTTCATCCAACGATCTTCGTGTCCTGCTCAGCAGGATCCTGAGCATATGCTCAGGAGATAATCCATTTCCATTTAATTGAACCAAGGAAGAGCCACGTGTCTAATTTTCATTTATTGGAACACCAGATGTCATATACGACTGGAACTTGGAAAAATTTCTCGTTAGGCAAAAACATGGCGTCTTTAATTATTCTTGGCCGCCTCACGCCTTCTTACCCATAAACCAGAAACCCTACCACATTCTCCACTGTAATTGCTGGCAATGGAATTCCAACAGTTTTTCCTAGTGGCAGTAAGCACTCTAGGGTTCATCTCTCTCTGCAAATCCTTCATCAACTTTCTCAGATGGGTCTGGCTCATGTTCCTCAGACCCCCAAAGAATCTCAAGGAGTACGGCTCGTGGGCTCTCATCACTGGCCCCACTGACGGAATCGGAAAAGCCCTAGCATTCCAAATGGCTTCGAAGGGTCTTAACCTAGTTTTGGTTGGTCGAAACCCTTCGAAGCTCGTAGCAACCTCCAACGAAATACACGAGAAGTACGGTGAAAAAATTCACACCAAGAATATTGCCATTGATTTGGCACAGTTTACTGGGCAGGAAATTGCTGATGCGATAGAGGAAGGAATAAAAGGGCTTGATGTGGC